TATTTGGCATATATTAATGCCATGTGGAAGTTTACATAGGAGGAATGCTTGCATTTGTGAGAAGATTCTAGAGAAGTATGGACATTTCCTTTGGAAGATCCTAGATGTTTATGGATTTGCTAGGAAAGTCCTTGGAATCTTCTAGGCTTGTAGAGAATTCTAGAGAAAGCCCTTATCTTGTAAATATTAAGGACTTGTGTAACAATTAATATTTGCACACTAGCCCCTAGGAGACTAGTATATAAAGGAGGCCATTCATTTGTAATTCATCAAGCAAACAATTCAAGTTCTCTCTAATACAAAGCTTCCTTTAACAATTCTCTTGTGTTCTTTCTACCATTCTCTTAGCGATCTTGAGTGTAGTAAGGCTGACTTGGCATAACAAGAACGTGAGCAAATTGTCAAGTGCCGCACGTGTACTTAGTTAATTACTATGCGATTTAGAGCATTTATTTTTATTCCCTCCATTTCAAAATCGGCTCGTTCGTAACTTTTCCGTTAACCAAATGGCCCGGAAATGCCATTATTGACTAATGGAGCCAGTTTCTTCCTTTTAAAATCTCAAAGTAGCTTTTAAGGAAAAAAAAAGACCACATATAATTAAATACCTCCCACCCACTCGCTGTTTACCACCCCCCTCAAAATTTACTTTTAACTGTATCCCTTTATCATTTTCTACTCATTTTCTCTCATTTTCTCTCATCTATCTCGTAAAAAAAATCCCAAAGACGCTCTACTAGGGTTTTTTCTTACCCTTGACAAGTGGGCCGGGTGGGGCCCTAAACGGGCGAAACATGCCGGGCCCTAAACGGGCGAAACAGGCCGGTCTCATGTGCCACGGTCCTGGGCCGGTCCCGGTCCTTAAATAAATGGGCTAAACGTGTTTTTTGTAGGAACCGGTCTGGGATTGGGCCAACAAACTCATGGTCCCGGGCTAAATGGTTCGGGCCCGCGGTCCCAACGGGCTTAATGGGTCCAATGACTATGTAGTAATTTAAAAAAAAATATTAAATAGAAATTAGAGATAAAAAGATGTTAAAAACCATCTAAGGCAATGCCTTGTAATTTTATTATAGAATTATGACCTAATTTTTTAAATTCAAATATAAAGACAAAAATATTGTAAAAACATATTCAAAGCAACGCCTTGTAATTTTGTTATAGCAATAAAAAATATGACAATATCTTTCTTAGTCTTCATCTCCCCTATGGAATGAGCACAACAAGGTGCTAATACCACCATTGAGAAGAAAAAGGAACTAATCAAGAAGTGCCAAAATACAAGTTACATAATACATACTACTCCCTCCGTTCCAGTTTATGTGAACCTATTTCTTTTTTGGTCCGTTCCAAAATGAATGACTCCTTTCTAAATTTGGAAACAATTTAGCTTAAACTTCCAATTCTACCCTTAATGAAAAGTTTTTATAACCACACAATTACTCTGGACTCCTTTTTGACTTGTTTAGGACCACAAATTTCAAAATTTTTTATTTTTTCTTAAACTCCGTGTCCAGTCAAATAGATTCACATAAATTGGAACGGAGGGAGTAATTTTTTTTTAATACAAGTTACATGTTATCTCTTACAAACTTCATAAATCCTTCAAGGTTTGGAGGAAGTTCCGTTGGTGGTGGCGGAAAAGTAGTTTGGTCATCGCCGCTTCCATTATTGGGCGAAGCAACATCCTCAGCAAGTTCAGCTCATATTTCTTCGTAAGCTTCGTCTACCCCTGGTTGTGATTCAGCAAGTCCAAAATTTCTTCTTTCCGAACGGATCCAATCTTTGAAAAGTACTAATTTTTCCAAGCTAGCCCTCATAGACACTCTATGATTACCGATTTGAAGTCTTGCTTGACTGAAAGCGCTCTTCGATGCCACTGATGAAGCTTGAATAGTTAAAATATCTCGGGCCATCCTTGAAAGAACCGGAAAGTATTTTTCTTTGTTCTTCCACCATTGCACAATATTAAAGGTGCTGTCGGGATTCACTTCCTCAAGTTGCTATGACAAATAAACTTCAAGCTCATTTAGTTGTGAAAAATCATTACTACTAGAACCAAAAGAACCCTTAAACCCCGCCCAAACACTAAGTCCTCTTACTCCCGTAGTTATTTTAGAAGATTGAGAATCAGAAGAAGAAGAAATTGGAGCATTTGGTCTAGCATGATTTAATACAACTTGATAAGCATTATAAATAGTTTTAGCATTTGTTCTAATTGAGGCTATTGCTTCCGGAAGTTTAGGCAACTCATCATCTTCAAGTGCTAAGCCATTATAAACAGTTTCATATAAAAAATGAGGACCTCCTAATTTCATACAAGGATTTAACAAAGAAGCAACACCATAAATAGGGAGAATAAGAAAAAAATATTTTTAAAACTTTTTTCTCATTGAATCAATAGCAAGTTGATAAATTTCCCCATCCTATGAAAAATGAGCAAACAAAATTGCAAGTTCTGCAATATAAACTAAAAAGTTGGGGTTTGGTTCGGGGAGCCGGGGGCAGGGGAGGAGGAACAACAGTACCACTAGATTCGCCAGTCTTGGATTTTCCCTTATTCTTACTTTTACGAAAAAAATTTCTTAAAGAAGACATCTTAGTTAATCAAGTAATAGCAAATAAATAAAACAAACAAAACTATAATATTAAGACTTAAGAGTTGGAACGAGTTTACCGAATTGACGAACAACTTGTTGAAAATTGATTATCGTTGAAGACTTGAAGACCAATTCACCAACTTCACAATTTTTTCACAAATTGTAATAACCTCAATATGTTTTGACCATTTTTTGGAATAAAGTAAGCAATAGTAGCAACCTCACAATTTTTTCATTATTTTTTTTTGATAAAGTAAACAATTGTATCAAGTATAGAAGAAAATTAGAGAGAGATTTTGATAGATTGATATTGATTTTATAAGAAAATGAAAGAATGATGGGGGATTTATAGTAGAAAATAGGAAAATGTATAATAATAAAAAAATTTGGTGTTAAAATTAAGTTGGGTGTGGGGTTAAATGGCTAATTTTTAAATACCTAACGACTATTTTTTAAACCCCCAAAGACTTTTTTTTCAAAAGCCAAACGACACCTTTTTTTAAAAAAAGAATATCCATTGGGCTTGCCAAGGGACCAGTCCTAGTCTGGTCCCGGTCTCTTGGCGGGTCAAACGGGCCCGATCCTAACGGTTCCTAGCTAAGAATCGGCCTACGACACCGGCACGAGCCCATCTCTACCGGGCCAAATGGTCCCAGTCTGTTTAGCCCAATAAAGCCCGTGGTCCCGAGCCCGACCCACTTGACACCCTTGCTCTCTAATCTGGATCTAAGGAGAGGTTCGTTCACAGTCCACCCTGAAAGATCGATTTTTCTTGTCGATGTAACTATCTATTTTACTCTTCTTTTCTTTTAATCGTTGTTGTTTAGAGTTACTTTTGGTAGTAAAGGGATACATGCAGGGGTCATGTGTTTTTTCTTGATATTGTCACCATCCTAGCTCTAAAATATATTTTAATCTATAGTGTATAAAGAATGAGTCTTTGGCAGTACTCCCCCGCTATAGGTTGTGTACCTTTGCCCTTTTTATTCCATTTGTGCTTTATTTTGGTGGTCCCGAAATGGTACCCCTTTGTTAAACGTTTCTCATGTTTTACATGTCTCTTCTATGAAGGATGATTGAAGAAGTGGATAGAGTATTATTTTCAACTGTGAGGGTACTTTGGTAATTCGCCTCATTTGGTTTACACTAAAAGCTTGGTGCACACTTGGTATGATAATGTGTCCATATACTTAATTTTGATGACATATGTGAAGAGTTTACTACCAGGTTAGGTTTTACTGTTGTTAAACAGCTGTTGGTAACTGGACCTTCGGGTAATTATTATTTGGTTGAAGATAATTCTGGAATTAGGGCTCTCTAGTGCTTATTTTCTCAGCAGTTTAAGGTGATAAACTTCTTTGCCGTAGATGAGTCTGAACTGAGTTTCTGCCCCAAACATAATCCATCATACTGAAGTTGATCCTGTAACTGTTGGTGTTGGTTCTGACTGTGAATATAGTGCTGGTGAAGATGCTTTTTCTGATTCAGATCATGGTGAATATGATGAAGGTAAGCTTGAAAGTATTAGACTGGAAAAAAGAAGAGTGGTTAGTGATCGACTGGAAAATTTTAAGATTTTGGACCTTTAAGAATATTGATGAAGCAAGGCAGTTCATGAAGTTTTATGCAATGGCAAATAACAAGAAGTTGACTGTTCTCAAGATGAAGGTTGTGAATATGTGTCCCTTTGTGTGTCACATATCCAGGGATGGTAGGTCAGAAAATTTTAAAATCAAAATATTGAAATCAGAACATACTTGTGAGGATTGTTTTCAAAATCCTATGGCTTGTCAGTCTACAATAGCTACATATTTTAAGAAGCAAGTACAAAATAATCCAAAGTCTTCTATCAAGGACATGAGAGGTGATGTTGGGCATATTTCGATATGTGTTAGATGTTACTTTACTCATGTTTTAACCGCTTTTTGATGCTATTTGATTTTTAAAATGCCCAACATGGTTTAATTATTAATTTTATGACTAATTGAGTTGTGTGTGATGATTTAGGGTGTTTGTAGTGCAAAATTATGAAAAAAAGGTGCTCTAGCTAGAGGAAGAGGGGTTGGATGCGTCGCATTCAATCTAGAAAAAAAAATCAGATTTTGTGCACCCTTAGCAGTGAAGTCGGCCCATAGCATCCGCACCTGGGCAAAGCTGAGATGGAGGAACAAAGGAGCATGCGAAGCTGAGAAGTGGAGGACGAGGTGGATACGACGCATCCACCCCAGCATCAATCCCTGAAGCTGATTTGGATTAGAAATAGGAGCACTTTGGCCCACGACTTTTGTACGCAATATATAAGCCAAAAACGCCTCTTTTAGGTCATCTAACATATTGGGATCCACCCTAGCATGCGAAGCTGAGAAGTGGAGGACGAGGTGGATGCGACGCATCCACCCCAGCATCAATCCCTGAAGCTGATTTGGATTAGAAATAGGAGAACTTTGGCCCACGACTTTTGTACGCAATATAAGCCAAAAATGCCTCTTTTAGGTCATCTAACATATTGGGAAGGGGGAAAAAGCCACGACAAAGCTTGGGAACCACGGAATTCATCTTGAGTTCTTATTTTTCCTTCTTTTATTGATTTTTATGCACTCTTGTGAATTTTTTGTTGATTGCATAAACATGAGTGGCTAAGAACCCTATTATTCTAGGGTCATGGGTATACATGAATGTTGACGTTTGAAGTTTAATTTGACAAAGTTCATTTTATCATATTGGGTTATTTATTTAATTCTATTTTTAATTAATTTGCTGAGTAGCTAACAGTGAATTACTATCTACGAATCTAGAGTTGAACTCGAAAGTGAAAATTCTAGATTATATATAGCATTAAATAAAGCAAGTTCTTGAACCCGGGCATCTGGGAACAGATTCGCAATTAGGATAGAAATATACCTAATTGTCTTGCTCGGTTGAAATACAGGAAGTGTAAAGGCATTCTTGTTAATCTTAATTCTATAAACATATAGGCATTAAGTTAGCTTGAATAGGCGAGTAAGAACTCAACAGATTCTTATGAGTAGTATCAACCCTGTCAATCAACAATCTAGATAAATCAATTAATTATTTTAAGCTAAGAATGCAACATGATTGTTAGATAACCCGTGACCCTGGAATATTATCTCCTATTGATTGTTATTCGAAATCATTTAAGTGTTGTGGTTGATCTCTAGTATTTCATTACTTGATAGTTTTTAGGTAGTAAATTAGAAAATTATCTATTTATTGAGAAATCGCTTGAATCGATAAGTTATTTGAGTTTGAGTTAGTCAAAAGTTAATCATAAGTCTTCGTGGGAACGATACTCTACTCACTACTATATTACTTGACGACCACGTATACTTGCGTTAGTGTGTTTGATCGCAACAAGAGGACAGTTGGAAACTGATTTCAGATTGAATGTGTCAAAATCCAAGTTAAAAAGAGCTAAGACAATTGCTCTTACTACTATGGACATGAACTTATGAAGTCAAATCCAGGGTCTGATGTTGTAATTAGTATTTTCAAAGATGCACTTGAAATGGGTATAAGGAGGTTCCTAAGAATGTATATTTGGTTCTATGTTATGAAGCAAGGATGAAAAGGTGGTTTAAGACCACTAATTGGGTTAGGTGGGACTTTCTTGAAGGGAAAGTGTAAGGGTCAACTATTGGTGGCTATGGGACAAGACTCTATGAACCATTTTTATCCACTAGCTTGGGCAGTGCTGGACAAAGAAACTAGCAGGACTTGGAACTGGTTTCTTCAGTTGTTGAAGGCTTCTTTGGACTTGAATAATGGGCAGGGTGTGACATTCATTTCTGATATGCAAAAGGTAAATAATTTTTATTTGTTGCTTTCTTGTTTATCTTTTTCATTTTTTATTGTTTCTGACTTTATGAAAATTGCAGGGACTGCTAGATGCTGTACAAACTGTACTTCCAAATGCCAACCATAGGTACTGTATGAGACATATTGAAGCTAATTGAACTAAGAGGGGGAGGAGTGACCAAGAAAAAAAAGTAATGCGGTGGTGTTCTTGGAGTACTTATGAGGAGGAATTCAAAGATATGTTGAGGCTTTTAGGATCAGAGGATGTAGAGTCAGCTAAGGATCTACTTAAATATCCTCGGGTGGCTTGGTGTAGGGCATATTTTGATACTTAGTGCAAGAATCTAATGGTTGATAATAATTTCACTGAGTCCTTCAATAATTGGATACTATAAGCTAGGCAGAAACCAATAATCAAAATGTTGGAGGATATAAGGGTGAAAGTTATGAATATGTTGGGGAACAATGAAAATAAAGTAAGGACTTGGATTTCTAATTTCAGTCCACAATGTATGAGGCTCTATAATGATTACAGAGTAATAGCAAACAGTTGTGTAGTTGAATTCAATTGAGATTTTGAGGAGAATAGGCATACTGTGAATCTGCAACAGAAGAGGTGTACATGTAGGTTATGGGACTTGGGTGGGATCCCATGCCCTCATGCCATCAGGGCAATTATGCATAAGAGAGGAAATCCCAGAGATGAGATTCACTGGTAGCATTCTAAGGAGGCTTATACGCTGACATATAAGCATAAATTACAGCCTGTTAGGGGTCCTCAATTCTGGAAAGTGGAACCTGAACATGCCATGAAGCCACCAGATATGGTTAAGCTTGTTGGTAGACCTAAGACAGAGAAATAGGGAACCTGATGCAGCATTAAAGAGGAAGGGTGAATGGAGCTTCTCAAGAAGGGGACATTAATAGCATGCAGCAAGTGTGGTGAATACAACCATAATGCAAGGGGTTGTTGTAAGGTATTTTTTTTTTAATTTTAGTCTTTTGAAGTATATACTTAGCTTGTAATTTACTTGGTTTATAGGACAATGTTGTTGGACAAAGGTCAAAATCAAATAGCAACCAAACTAGACATAGTTCAACACCTGTTCCTGATGCATCTGAGTTAGAGGCTGCAACACAATAATCTGAGCAGTACGAATTTGAAACACAAGCTACACAACGATCCACAGCCTATGGTCCTGAGGTGAGGAATGAGGAAGATCCAGCATTGAGGCCAAAGGTTATTTCTGAGACACAAACAAGGCTTTTACCTCGGATGACTCAACGCACTGCAACTGGGACTAGGAGAATCCCTTTTACAGGAGATAGTACTGGGGTAGCAACACCAAAAAACCTACCATTTTCACCAACCAAGAGTACATGGAAGGGAAAGGCATCAATGACTACAAGCCAACTGGAAGGCGGAGAAGCAAGGAAGAAAAGGGCGAAGATGACGACTAAAAAAGGGGTGCATCTTGCTGATCCATAAGTTTTACTTTAGGTTGTTAGGACTCTTTAAGTGTTTATGAAATTTAATCAGAGGTGGTTATGGGATTCGGATTTGAGATAATATTTTTGGTCTGTAATGACAACTTTGTGTGTTTTGTTGCCAACCACAAGTTAGGTCTTTTGTGGCTGGTTAACCACCTTATGGTTAAACTCTTTTTTGCTTGTCATGCCACCTAATGCGTTGATTATGAATGACGTTGATTTTCTAATGTGTTGTGTTATTGCTATTTACTTCTTGTGTTGTGTTAAATTTAAGCTGAGTTGAATGACTACTTTTATGAAAGCAATATGCTTGCTTGAGTTTAATTTCGTAAGCTGAGCAGTATTTGTGAAAGTATCACTCCAGGTCTATACTCCTGGGCTTGTTATATGTGGTCATGATAACATTGGCAGGGATGGGCAGTAAAATATTTGTTTGCTTTCATAGACGGTTGCAAGAAATTTCACTTTCTTTAATGAGCTTGTCTTTTTTTCATTGTATAATGTCTTCCTTTTCCATCATTTTTTTTCCTTTAAAATGAAGATACAAAATTAATCTATTATGATTAGCAAACTGTTGAATTGTGGTTGATTGATTCCGCAGATAGACCGATTATTAAAGCACAATGATCACGATAAAATTCCAAAAATCCCGTTAGAAAGAAGATAAACTTGGTACGCATTAACATATAAAATAAGAACTAATTTTATTCCACCAACAATATGTCTTTACATTACATAATTATATGTGGTCCTTTTTATGTGGGTAAAATGGTGAGTGACTGGGAGGTATTTAATTATATATGGTCTTTTTTATATTTAAAAATTACTTTGAGATTTTAAAGGGAGAAATTGGCTCCGTTAGTCAATAATGGCATTTCTGGGCCGTTTGGTTAACGGGAGGGTTACGAACGAGCCGATTTTGAAACGGTGGGTATAAATGCTCTAAATCGCATACATTAGGGCTATCTATGGACCTTTGCCTTTTTTTAAAAACGAAAAAGGGTAAAAAAATCCCCTCTATTATACAAAAAGGATCATATATGTCATCCATTATATTTTCAGTATATTATTACCTCTGACGTTACAAATTTGGTGCAAAAATACTCTTCCTCCAAGTCCTCCACCACGGCCAACACCATCCAACGTGGCCTAATATTGAACGCCACATCATATGCCACCTCATCGTCCTAATCCAATTTTAATTGCAACCCTCCTCCCCCC